AAAAAAAAAAAAAAAAAAAAAAAAAAAAAAAACCCAAAAAAAAAAAAAAAGAAAAAAAGAAAGAAAAGGCAGGCTCCTCTCACTTTCCATGACAGTATCTGCACACAGAGGGAATGTCTTCTTCCTAATCCTGCCAGGATATACACCTGTCAGGAAGAGAAGATGACTGGTTCTTTGCAAGTCTTTCCAGCCAGTCATCACTTGGCACTGGAGTCAGGAAAACTGAGTTTGGTACCACTCCATTTACTGAGTCCTTTAGATGGCAAGCAGCAGGTGTGAAGCTGGAGCTGGCCAGTGGTGGCACACACCTTTAATCCTGGCACTTGGGAGATGGAGGCAGGCAGATCTCTGTGAGTTCAAGGCCAGCCTGGTCTACAGAGCAAGTTCCAGCACAGCCAGGACTATTACACAGAGAAACCTTTCTTGAAAACTTAAAAACAAAAACACACTAAAAGGGGGGGGGGGATGTGAAGCTGGAAACTGTGATAAGCCAGATGCAGTCCCCAGGTTTCACGAACTCTAAGGCTCCTGAAGCAGCCATGAGCAATCACATTGTATTTGAAATATGGCACCTAGCATTTTACTGGCAAAGGACTATTTTTTTTTTACTCTTTGAATTTCTTTTAATAAAATCACTTTATTGTAATGAACTCACAAATAAAACATCACACAGTTAGATTAAGGGAGCTGCTCAAATGCTTGTTGAGTCCCAAACTGTATCCCAAGCTCAGTAAACTTCCAGTTAGAATGGCTATTGAATGGCAATTCTGGCGCACAGGAACTTGGCTCAGAATTTTACACTTTCACTGTCGGATACATTTTTACTCACCTATGCACTGAAAAAGAAAAAAAAAAAAAACTATGACAGAGTTGGAACTAGGAAAAAAATTAGCCTTATACTCCCTTTCATGATTTCTTTGCCTGCACTCTGTCCTTTCTCATTGCCTTATATTAATTACCCTTTCTCAATGGGTTTGAAAGGAAATGGAGGAACTTTTTTTTCTGCCCAGCTAAAATGGAGGAACTTTTTAGGGTACTCAGAAATGCTAACTGAGGAGAGAAGACACAAGTAAAAACAATATAGAACACACACACACACGATTGTCCACATTATCCCTGTCCACTTCAGCTACCCCTCATCCTTGGCTAAGGAGACTGCAGCAACTTTTAACTAATTTACTCTGGGCTTCCCTGCCACTCTAAGCTGCCAGAAATAAAGCTCTAAAATGCAAGCCTCATCATGGGACTTCTCTGAGTAAGCACTTCAGCACTGGCCACCACCTCCAATCCAGTCTCCTCACCAAGGCATAGAAGGCTCTGCATGAACCAGTCCCGAGCACCATTTTGGCAACCATTTCACTCTCTCTTGCCAAGTAAGTTACCCCAGACACGATGCTTGCTCCACACCTCTACTTCTGAACATGCTGTACTCTTTGCATGGAAAGCCCCTATTAAATTCCATTTTTCATCCACTCTCTTAAGAATCTTCTCCTAAACTTCTCAGATGAAACACTCCAGCCCTTCTCTGTAGCCAGGGGACCTTCCCTCTCCTGTTTGTTTTTCATCCTCCTAGCACTTTAGCTCTATGAGCTTCTTGGCCAGTTTCCCCGCGCTAGACTCCTAGCTCCATTGAGGGAGATGGTGTTTTCTTCATCTTGGTGTGACTAGATCTCTGTGTTAATTGCTGGGTTCCTAAAGCTGACGAGAGGTTAAATAGATAAATGCAATCACTGATACCATGTGAAATTACTAAACATTAGGATGTTATAGCCATTAGGGAGACTATAAACACAGAAGCCATGTATTGAGCCCTTACTGTAGCTCAGGAACTCACTGGGTATTTCTTTTTTTTTTTTTAAGATTTATTTATTGATTATGTATACAGTGTTTTCCCTACATATATGCTGCAGACCAGAAGAGGGCACCAGATCTCATTACAGATGGTTGTGAGCCACCATGTGGTTGCTGGGAATTGAACTCAAGACCTCTGGAAGAACAGTTGGTGCTCTTAACCTCTGAGCCATCTCTCCAGCCTTTGCTGAGTATTTCAAAACACTCATTTCTTTTATTAATTACAACCACTTATGGTCATTAGCACAGCCACTTCAAGATGAGAAAACTCGGATCAACTTAAAAACTTGTCCAAGAGCAACACAGAGAGAAAAAATGACTGAGCTGATTCAAGCCTGATACTCCATGCTAGTAAAGCCAATGAATGAGAGGATGGGAACCATGTTCCTCTAGGCTGCGAAATGGAGTGGGGAGCAGAGTATCCACCGAACTTTAAGAGAATATACAGTCGTCACTGCTAAGTGTATGTCACCGTGCTCTACCACCAGAACAGTAAGTCAGGGAAGACTTTCTGAAGAAAGGAAAGCAATTCTGGGGGGTTGGAAGATTCATCCAGGCAGGAAAACTCAATCTAAGGAACACTGACAGGCAAAACAGTGGTGAGTGCTTAGGTGGCCTGCCAGATGAGGAGAAGCAGAGAAATCTGGGTGAAGGATTTGAAACCAACAGTTCTTGTTTGTATCATAATGACAATAACTCTCAGAGTAAAGATTACAATTGGAGAGAGTGGAAAAAATAATAAGGTTAAGAAAATCAGGAAGAAAATAATTGGGGAGAGAGGTAGAGGCAAAGACAGTGAGAAAGGGAGAAGGGGAGAGAGAAGGAGAAGAGAGAGAATGAGAACGAATGCAAAAGAAAATGCCTTTAAAATTCTACTTTCCCTAAACATCCCACTCTCATCTCAAGAACACATTATTTTTGTTATATGATCATATTTCTATCCTAGTAGTGTTAGTTTTTCATCTTTTCCATTCTTATTTTCTTATTTTTCTTTTCTGGTTTTTGTTGTTGTTGTTTGTTTTTTGAGACAGACTTTCTCTGTGTAGCTTTAGAGCCTGTCCTGGAATTCGCTCTGTAGACCAGGTTGGCCTCGAACTCATATAGATCTGTCTGCCTCTACCTCCTGAGTGCTGGGATTAAAGGCCTGCGTCATCACCGCCCAGGTCGAGTACATTTTCAAAAGATAAGAACCATGTCTAAACAAGACTGTATACTAACAAAAACGTTGAAAACCTGTAATGATGTAAATGCTAAGAATAATCTGATTGAGTAGTGATGTTCACTGTGGATTGAACATGGACCGGGTTCTCTGGAAAGGTTGGTATAGAAAAACTGAAATACAAAATAAAATAATACATAAATTTCTCTTCTTTTTTGGAAGGAGGGAGTGTTGTTTTTTGATAGTGTCTCCAATAGCCTAGGCTATAATCATGCTACAACCAAGTAGCTGATAACCTTAAACTGAATCTCATGCCTCCTCCTCCAGGTACTGGGATTACAGATGTGTGTCACTACAGCTATCTTAAAAATTATATCATTTAAATATTGTTAGGGAGTTAGAACATTCCAGAGTAACCCCAGGAAAACATCTGTAAGTGTAAAAAATCAGTAATGCCACAGAACCAAAGGCATGAGCGCTAAAATCCTACAGAGGGAAAAATGTGAGCCATTTTTAAGTAGGTTTTTATGTGCAGTTCAATTCACATGGATTATTCAAAGGTATTTATGCTAAATACTAAAAATGAAATACTAAATGCCGCCTGTGTCAACAATGGCTCAAACTATCCCCAAGGCTTGTGGGCTAAGGGTCTGGAACTTTTAACTCTAGAGAGTTCTCTGTTTAGCATATCAATCAGGTGTTTGTATCCTGTTCTTTAAGGCTTTCTCTAGAGCTTAGCTGGTCTCAGATTGAAATTCTGATAGGGGCCTGTGAAAGGGTTCGCTGGATAAAGGCACTTGCTTTGCTCAACAAGCCTGGTGGCCTGAGTTTGACCCTGAGACCCCATAAAGGCGGAAAGAGAGAACCTACTCCACAGAAGTTGTTCTCTGAGCACTCAGTCAGGCCTGTACACACGCACACACAAACAGCATTCACTCAGTCAGGCCTGTACACACACACACACACACACACATTCAAACACAGCATTCACTCAGTCAGGCCTGTATATACACACACACACATACACACACACACACTCAAACACATTTGAAACCAGAATCCTAAGTCAGTAACTGGGCTTGCTTTGATCCCACTCCTGGCCTTGGTTCCCTGAGGTTAAAACTTCAAGGCCTACTAACCACTTTCCTGCCTTTTCTTTTTTTGAGACAGGGTCTGGCTTGTGTAGCCCAGGGTTGCCTTGAACTCAGAGATTTGCCTGCCTCAAAAAGCATGACCTACACGCCCGGTTCCAGGCTTTTCTTATGGCTCTTCTTCCAGCCTTAAGTTCTTTCCTATGTCCTTTTATTATTTTTAAATACCTACTCCTTTCGAGGGGCTCCAGTGTCTTTAAAAATACTTCTTTCTCTACTTCTCATTCCCAAGTCTTGGCTCCTGCTTTTTAGGCTACAGAGGTCACATGGGCTGAATGGCGTTCAAGGCTTCTCCGACTTTGGTACAGCACCCAGCACCCTCGTGTTCACACACCTCCTCGGCCCCTCTCCAGCCACCCAAAGCTTGCAAGCCACAGCAGAATACTGCTAAGTCGAGGGCGTTTCACCGCAGGGCTAAACTGGGAATTCTTTGGCGCCAGGGAGTTCGGAGAAGAGCTCCGTAACATCCTGGAACATGAACGTAACTTACTTGCTGTTTTCTTAATGCAAGGGCAATGTCTCCTCTACCAGACAGGGAACTCGGAGGCCGACAGAACCCTGCCAATCCTTTATTCAAGCCCTCATTGACCCTACTCCGGAACACAGAATAGGTCTCAGAACAGTCCCGTAGACAAAATAATTCTTCCCAACTCCGAGAAACGGAAACGACCTTTGATCGACTAGGAGACAAAAGTGTTAAAGCTCGACAACCTGATGGATTCTGGGGTTTTCCTTCCTCCACGGCAGAAATCAAACGACTCAGGAAGGGAGATTTCGCCCAAGGTAAAGATGAAAACGGTCAACTTCAACTGTCAGACGTCTGCCCCAAACAATCATGGCTACCTAATCCCACAAAGGTTGCCACACACCTAACTAAAAATGGCTGGTCCAAGGCTTCACTATCGGGGTGCTTTCCTGCCCAACTCCAAAATGGCGCTCACTGGCCTCTCTACAAGTTGCAAACTTTCCCAGTATCCTCTCTGGCTTAATCGTCAGGTGACGCGAGCCTCAGCCGGAAGTGAAGGAAAAAGCGCTTCAGCCCGCGGCGCCTGCGCAGAAGGCTCCAGACGCTGAGAGGCAGGAGGCACTTGGGATCGTCCGCAGGGTTTGGGACTGCTACAGAGGCCGCCACGGAGCCCGCCGGAGCCACCGTTCCTGCTGCTGCTGCTGCCGCCGCCCGAATCGGAACCGTCGGGCTGCAGCCGCCGGCAATGCCGCGAAGGAAGGTGAGAAATGGCAGAGGGATGGCGGGTTTCTAAGGCGAGGCGGTTTGAGTAACGTGACGCAGCTGGCCACGCCTCGCCGCGGTCGGCTTCCAACTTCCCGCTCCCCCGAACCCGGCCTAAGCACCCTGTCGCCTCTCGGTACCAGAGAGAAAAATGTGGGCCCGACCCTGGCCTCGGCCTATGCTTGTAGCTATTCCCGCCCTCTGCTTGCCTGGGTCGGAGGCGTTCTTCTTGTTAATTGGTTGCCGAAGCGTCTGGAAGGATATTGATTGGGTGGTGACGCCGCCTATTTGGGCTCAACGGTCACCTCCCCGCGTGCGTGGGCGGCGTCTGGGTCTGGCCTCGGTGCTCTGCGACTGGCTGTGGCGGATGCTCGCTCTTTCCCTCATTGGCTCGGCGTCGCAGTCTGTTCTTGTGGCGGGTGCGGTTTAGCAAGGCCCGGATTGGGTCGCCCGAGGCTCCGTCCTTCCGGATAGAGATGGCGATAGGCGCCAAGACGCGTTTTGGAGAGCCCACTTTGCCCTCCAGGTGGGGAGCACAACAAACAAAACCAGCGCCCACTCCCAAGGGGTACCTCGCAGGCCTGTTGCGTCGCAGACGCCGTCTTTCCCTGACTCAGTTCGACATTGCCTGGAAAGTACATTTTGGAAAAATATCAACGCAAGACTTGATAGAGTTAGAAGGGTTTTTTTGAATTTTGAAATCATACAGGAAATATATGATCGTGTGTGGTGCGTGCTCTTGAGTGTGCGGGTGCGGGCGAATGACGGTGTATGCCTGAGCAGGACATCTTCCTGTATGGCTTGCTTTACTGAGCCAGAAGCTAGGTTTTCTGGCTTGCAGCAGGCTCTCAGGACCCACCTGTCTTGTCTCCCCAGTGGTAGTGTTCTAGGCTCATGCACGCTGGGGAATCTGTATTGAGGCTTTTATGCTGACATTCTAAAGCCGGCTCTCCAGCCCCGACCCTGCTCATTGCATTCTACAACTGAATATAGGAAGGACAGCTGACCTACATCCAGGCCACTTGTCAAGCGCAGGCAAGCTGGAACTGCAGAACAAATGTAAAGCAGTTCCGCAGATGTTCGCTGACCTCTTGCCACATGCTAGTCACTAGGAATTCAGAAAGTGGGGGTGGCGGGGCGGTGGTGGCGCACGCCTTTAATCCCAGCACTCGGGAGGCAGAGGCAGGAGGATCTTGTAGACCAGCCTGGTCTACAAGAGCTAGTTCCAGGACAGGCTCCAAAACCACAGAGAAACCCTGTCNCTGTAGACCAGGCTGGTCTCGAACTCACAGAGATCCGCCTGCCTCTGCCTCCCGAGTGCTGGGATTAAAGGCGTGAGCCACCATCGCCCGGCACATTAATGTCTTTTAAAATGACTGAGTTGACAAGTTGTGTTTATGACCAAATACAAGAGACATGCATATTGGTACATTGGAAGAGGTCTGGTCTCCTTTTAGCATTTTCCAAATAACTAGAGTCCTGGAAAATGTAAATTCTTACTGGGTATTATGGCAGTAATACCCTTTAATCTCAGCACTTGGGAGGTGGATCTCTGTGGTTTGAGGTACACCCTGCAGGCTAAGAGATCTCTCTCTCTCTCTCTCTCTCTCTCTCTCTCTCTCTCTCACACACACACACACACACACACACACAAGAAACTGTAAGCTCTTGCTGGTGTAGTAGTACACACCTATAGTCCTAGTATTCTGAAGGTTGAGGCTAGCCTAAGCAATATAGCAAGATCCTATCTCAACAACAACAAATATGTTAGTATCTTGTCTGATGGCAGATCTGTCCTAAATTATCCTTAGGCTACTTAATTTTTTTATATATCTTATTCAGTGTAGTACTACAGTTATATTTGCATTAAAAATATTAATGTGTTTAATGAGGGGGTTATTTGTAGGACATATGTGTTCTTTCTAAAAAATCTAAAGACTTACTGTGTAGTGTTGTTAAACCAGGTGGATCTCTGTGTGTGACCTGGTCTACAGAGCTAGTTTCAGGACAGCTAGGGCTGTTACTCAGAAAAACCCTGTCTCGAAACCCTCCCACCCCCAAAAATCTAAAGGATTTTTAATTCCAAACATACTTGGCAGCTTATTCTTTGAATAATGAATTTGACCTAGAGCTAGGGTGAGCTCAGTGATACATGGTTAGTGCCTTGAAGCTCCAAGTTTAGTCCCAGTGCATCCTACTCCCTGCCCTGCCAAAAATATTAGGGCTTAAGTTTGAGGTTTTGAAGTGATTTCAGCAAATTTTCTTGTATTTCTGGCTTAGAAAGGGGCATAGTGTAAGTGCTTAAATGATAAAAGTAATCATTTTTTTTTTTTTACTCAAAAGTCTTCAGTTTAATGATAAAAGTAATCTTCATGGCTAATCACTCCACTGGAGGCTAGCTGACGATTATGACTAGGATGTGAGGTGACTTTTTAAAAACCTGACATATGGGACTGGAAAGAGGGCTCAGTGGTCCAGAGCTTTTGTTGCTTTTACAGAGGGCCTGGGTTCTGTTGCTCATAGCCATTAATGACTCCGGTTTCAGGGGGTTTGACAACGTCCTTTGACCTCTAAGGACATGCATGTGATAGACAGACATGCAGACAAAGCTGTCATACCTATAGAATAAAATAAATGGGGGCTGGAGAGATGGCTCAGTAGTTAAGACCACTGGCTGTTCTTCCAGCGGTCCTGAGTTCAGTTCCCAGTGCCCACATGGTGGCTCACAACCATTTGTAATGAGATTTGGTGTCCTTCTGGCATGCAGGCATATATGTAGACAGAATACTGTATACATAATAAATAAGTCTTTAAAAAATGTAATTTCTTTTTTTTAAAGATTTATTTATTAAGTATACAGTGTTCTGTCTATCTGTATGTTCTGTAATTTCTTTTTAAAACCTGGTTTGACTACCTATGAGTCTTTAGTATAAATTCCTTTTCCAGCACTTATAACACCCATGTATAGAAACTTCAAGGACAGGTGACTCAAAATAATTTGTGTCTTTTTTCTTAATTTTTGAGATTAGAGTTATAGACCATGTTTGTTTGATGTGGTTTTTTTTTAAGATTTTTTTTGTGTATAATGTATGTGTGTATATGTACTTGAATGTTTATAGATTTACCACATATATGTAGGTAGGTACCTGTAGAAGCCAAATGAACTTGTTGAAGCTCCTAGAACTGAAGTTATAGGCAGTTGTGAGTCACTATGTGGGTGTTGGGAATCAAACCCAGGGCCTCCTCAAAAAAGTAGCATATGTTCTTAAACAGTGAACCATTTTTCCTACCCCAAGACCATATTTTAAAATGATGTATTTTTTAATGTGTTGTTTTGTTTTGGGGTCAGGGTCTTTCTGTATGTCACTTTAGATGTTCTGGAACTCACTTAGATAGATCAGGCTGGCCTGGAACTCACATAGATTTTCCTACTTTTACTGGGATTAAAGGCATGCACCACTTTGCCCAGCAATGTGTGATTTTTCTTGATGGAGAGTTTGAACAAAATTTACCCTGAAGTTAAATGGGGCCTAGCATTAACATTTTATTCATTGTCTTGGACTTTTTTAAAAAAATGATTTAGTTATATTGTTCTAACTATGTGTATGTATGTATTCCCCCGGAGGCGAGAGGCCAGTGGTTTCCCTGGAGCTGGAGTTACAGGCAGTTTGTGAGCCACCATGTAGCTGCTGGGAATTGAACTCTGGCGTATACAGTCTGAGCTGTATGCTCTGCTTTTTCTTTTCTTTTCTTTTCTTTTCTTTTCTTTTCTTTTCTTTTCTTTTCTTTTCTTTTCTTTTCTGACATGGTTTTGCTATCCAGACCATTTGATTTTGGTGTTTTGTTGTTAGATTAGGTGCTTTTATTTCTAATTTGTTGATCTCTTATGAGAGGTCTAATGATTCAGTCTGAATTGTTTCAGAATTAGTGATAATACATTAAGAATTACTTCTTTTTCCAAGTTTGTTTAGCATAGGTGTCTTACTTATTTGTAGGTTGTTCCACTAAAATGTCTGAAATGAAGGACAGTTCCTCTGAGCAGGAAGGGGAAATTGTACTTTCTTACATTGGAACTTGGTACTTCAGCTTCACAGTTCATTTTGCTTCCAGTGCTAATAGAATCCCGCAGTAAATGCTTTCATGCTAATGTCTGGATCTATGGTATTACAGAGAAATGCAGGCAGTAGTTCAGATGGAACCGAAGATTCCGATTTTTCTACAGATCTCGAGCACACAGACAGTTCAGAGAGTGATGGTACATCACGACGTTCTGCCCGAGTCACTCGCTCTTCAGCCAGGCTAAGCCAGAGTTCTCAAGGTAAAAGTCATTATTTTTTTTTCCTCACTGTTCCTCACACTGGACAGATTGGTATCATTTTATTGTGCTAGTTCATAGGGATACTGGTCCTTTGGCTTGGTGTAGATAGACTGTGTCAAAGTGTAAGGCAAATACAGAGATACTAGATCATCAGAATGTTTCTGACAGATACTATGTCCTGTGTATAGGCTGTGGCTTGCATAAATATGAGACACAGGTTTCTTGAGTCATTTTTTAAAGACTTTATGGTATTATCAGTCATAAAATGGTAAAATGGGAATGTTATTTTAGCTCTTTGTAAAATGGCTTAGGGCCTTAAGATGCGTATTTCATGTATTAGTGAGGCTTAGTGCTTCTAAAAGAATGTTTAATTATAGAATGTAGAGTCACATTTGATAGATACAACAGTGTATGAGTAAATACCCAGAATTTTGCTTTGGTAGTAAAAGAACAAAAGTCTTGTGTTTGAAAGGAAGTTGGAAGGCTCTTTAGTGTACTTAGCCGCCCGTTTGGGCTCTTTTGGTGGGTAGCCTTTGCCCCACCAAATTTGTTCAGTGTGGAAGAGAGGTTTAGCTAAAACACGAAAGTGACTATCAGTCTGTGATGATAGAGTAAATGGAAAAATTAAAATATGGGGGTGGGTATGGTAGCACATGCCTCAACCCCCAATACTTGGAAGCAGAGGCATGCTTGCAGAGCTCTGAATTCAAGGCCATTCTGGTCTATATAGTTCAAGACTAACCAGAGCTATATACTGAGACTCTGGATCACCCTCCCACCCACCAAAAAAAAAAAAAAAAAAAGGCAAAAAGTATATTTATGTATGTATTATCTATATAAGATAGATCAATAGATAGGTAGATAGATACAGTTACATGGATGTTTATGTGTGTGTTTGTGCACACACAAATAAATGTGATTTGTTAAAGAATCCTGTGGAAGCCCAGAGGTGGGGCACCCACATTGTTATCTGGTAGCAGTCTAATAGGAGTTTACAGATTGAAAGATGAGAAAAATGTTTTAGGCAGAGGGAACCATATATGCAGAAAATCCTAAGGGTTCTTAGAAACTGTAATTAGCTATGTTCTAAAGGCAATGGATACTCAAAACAGCTGGGGGGGGTGTCCTCTGCAGTTATTTTATTTCCTGGCCATGGAACTATACAACTCTTGAGCATCAGCACAGGGTAAGACTGCCTTCCCTAATGTGAAATATAGACAGCCTTGTGAAAAGAGCCCCAAAAAGTATATGAATTTGGGGACCTGTGTACAAACATCTCTCTGGACAGCTAGAGAAACTCAACTTATATTTCACACATTGTTATAGTATGTGTTTGTTTATAACATTCTATAGTTTTAACTTTGAGTTTCTTTTCTTATTGGAGATATGAAGGTCTATAAAGGCTTTAGAATAGGTTTCTCTATGGGAACAACTTAAGGGACTGAAGTGAAGGCTCAGCAGTTAAGAGCACTTAGTTGCTTTTCAGAGTACCTAGGTTCAGCTCCCAGCACCCACCTAGTGGTGCCAAGTAAATCCAGGGAATTCAATACTCATACACACAAAAATAAAGCACCAGGTGGTGGTGATACACGCATTTAGTCCCAGCACTTTGGGAGGCAGAGACAGGTTGATCTTTGTGAGTTTTAGTCCAGCCTGGTCTACAAGAGCTTGTTCCAGGACAGCTAGGACTGTTATACAGAGAAACCCTATCTTGAAAAACAAACAAACAAATAAATAANGCTCAGAAAGCTAAAGAGAGCTGGGTCATGGTGGCACATGCCTTTAATCCCAGCATTTGGGAGGCCTGTGAATCCCTGTGAGTTCGAGGCCAGCCTGGTCTACAAGAGCTTGTTCCAGGACAGCTAGGACTGTTATACAGAGAAACCCTATCTTGAAAAACAAACAAACAAATAAATAAATAAATAAAATTTTTAAAAAATCCAAAACTTAAAAAAGATAAATTTCATTTGATTGTTTTGAGCCAATTTATCCTTAGGTATTCCAGGCTGGCCTGTAAGTTACTATCATTCTGCCTCAGAATCCCAAATACAATACTTATGTCACTAGGTTTGTCTTAAAAATTTTTGTACTTTTCGAATACATTATAATTTCACATAAAAATGTAAGGACAATTAGACTAAGTAAGCACCCAATATAGTATGTATTATTCTGTTAGCTTTAGGGCATCTGTGTTATGATGGGCTGTAGCAAGGAAGGAAACAGGTGGTACAGTTAATACTGGTAAAGAACTCTCCTCATAATATTGAGAAATACGCAGCTAGTGTGTCCTCCCCCCCAACTAAGGTAAGTATTTTTCTTTTTCATGGATAAAGAAGTAAACTTGGAGAATTAACTTGCCCAAGATGCCACACATGGTTGCTGTGTGGAGTGGAATCCGAATAGAGTTCAGTCTTCACTACAGGGCCTAAATTTTCATGTTCTGCTCTTATGAAATTATTACACCTAAGCTAAATTCCTGTCATGTGTCATTTAGTGAGATCAGTATAGTCTAAGGACTTGTTGGGTTTGTGAAATAAGGAAGAAAAGGAACTGCATTCTTATTAATTGTGTGGATGGGAATAAAATGGTTTTCTTCTTTTTTCCTTTATTTTATGACCCTTTAAAACCCGGATCAGATTCTAGCCCTGTTCGAAATTTGCCATCTTTTGGTGCTGAGGAGCCCGCATATTCTACCAGAAGAGTGACCCGTAGTCAGCAGCAGCCCACCCCAGTGACTCCAAAAAAGTACCCTCTTCGGCAGACTCGCTCATCTGGCTCTGAAACGGAACAGGTGGTTGATTTTTCAGATAGAGGTAAGTGGATGTGTATGACTTGTTGGTGTACAAAGGATCTGGTCAGTTTTCTCTTAAGGCTTTGACTCTGCAGAGAGATACTGTCAGAGTTTAGGTAAGCAAACACTATTTATCTGAGTTTGTTTGTTTGTTTGGGCTTTGCAGCTTTGTTTGTGGTTTATGAAATGGGGTTCACAGTAGGTAGCCTCAAAATTATGATCCTCCTGCTTCAACCTCCAGAGTGCTGGGGCTGCAGATGTATGCCACCATGCTCAATTTATTTGATTTCTTACTGTCTTACACAGTCTGTTTTGATTGCTAGAGTGTTAATGTCCAAGCAGCTAGAGTGTATTAGATTGGATGTGTAATGGGGGAAAAGGAGGTGGGGCCTTCTGAGCCTCAACATGAAGAAGGCATGGCCCAGATTTTACTAGCTCTGTGATTACTAGTCCATTTTCCTCCAGACTGTTGACTAGAAGAGATCTTTGGTGATAGATAGTGGTAATTATTTGGTTGTGACCCAAGTGACTCAAGAGCCTTAGAGAGAGGTGTTAGAGTAGATCTTACAGGCTACTGGTTGGTTACCAGGCAACATGGTTGGTTGGTTTGCACAAATTCAAATGGTTTAACTCTATTTGGTAATACTTGGAAGTACAAAGATTTTCATATAAAAATTTGTACTTATTTTTAAATTTTTATTAATATTTTATGTGTTTGGTCTGCATATAAGTCTTTGAGCCATGTTTGTGCCTAGTACCCAAGGAGCCAGAAGAGGGCATAAGATTTCCTGGGATGAGAGTTAAAACTGTGAACTCCTGTGTGGGTGCTGTAATGAAACCCAGGTCCTCTGGGAGAACAGCTAATGCTCTTTAACCAGTGAGTCATCTCTCCAGCCCCAGTACTTTATTTTTTGGTTGTCTAATTATTTTTGTTTGGTTTGGTTTGAGACAGGATCTCTATGTAGAGCTGGCTATCCTGGAACTTATTATCTAGGTCAGGCTGGCTTTGAACTCACAGATCAATAGTTAATTTTTAAAACAGGGAAGATTTGGAAATACTGGTGGCTATTTATCCACAGTAATTTATTAGCTGGAGCTGAATTGTAGCTGTCACCTTTGGAGACAATGAGATTATTTGATTATGTCCAGCCCTGTAGGTATCTGGCTTGTAATCCTTGATTTAAGAGTGTTCAGTTGGCTAGGTGTGTTGGTGTGGGTACAAATTCAAGTACTCGGGAGGCAGAGGCAGATGGATTTCTGAGTTCAAGGCCAGCCTGGTCTATCACCTCTATAGAGCTAGTTCCAGGACAACTAGGGCTGTTACACAGAGAAACTCTATCTCAACAAACAAGAGTGTACAGTTTCTGTGGCCAGACAGATGGCTCAGTGGTTAAGAGCTCTTTTTTTTTTTTTTTTTTTTTTTTTTTTTTTTTTTTTTGCATGGTGGGGGGCAGGATTCTACATATCCTTGGCTGTCCTGGGATGGCATTGCATAGACCAGGCTGGCCTCAAGCTCACAGAGAGCTCCCGAGTGCTGGAATTAAAAGCATGAAATCACACAGGACACTGCTCTTGTAGAGAGAGGACCTGAGTTAGGTTCCCAGCACATATGTCTGGTAGCTCATAACTGCCTGTAACTCCAACTCTAGGAGATCTGATGCCCTGTTCTGGCCTCTGCCAGTATCTACATTTTGTCCACATATACATAATTAAAAATGAGATCTTTAAAGAGTATAGTATCTTTCATATAAGTGTTTAGGAGGTAGAGACAGGTAGATCTTTTTGTTTAAGGCCACCTGCGGTACATAGAAAGTTCCAGACCAACCAGGGATAAATAAAGTCTGTTGTTTTGTTTTTAAGAAAAAAAAAGAAAGAAAATGTGTGAATTCCAAGATTATGAGACCCCAGTAACTTCAGGCACATTGAGTATGCACACATACATGCAGACAAAACATTCATACACATAAAATAAATATGAAAAATTTTAAGTCAATTTCATTCCTTTTTTGGGGGGGTTGGTTTTGAGACAGGGTCTTTCTAAGTAGCTTTCCTTGCTACGTAGTCCAGGCTGGCCTTGAACTCATCATAGAGAATGCCTGCTTTTGCCTTCTGAGTGTTGGTATTAAAGGAATGTACTACCACACCCAGCTTATTTATTTTCTGTCTTGTGTATCGCTAGAAAGGAAAATGGGTTGATTATTTAGTAACTATTTGTTCCAGTAAAGAACCTAATACCTTTTGGTGAATTTTTAAAATGACAGTAAAAAGTTTTTAAGTTTTATTGCTAAACAACACTTGGGATGGTGAGAACACAGTTTTGTGATATTTGGGTGCTTTTGAAAACTTTATATTCAGTTTTTGATTACCCTGGATTAAAAGCTTAGGAGAAACATAAAAGAGTAACATGTAGTAGGAAAACCCCAAATTTACATTCAGCCAGAATTTACAGTTACATCAAAGTGATGGTTTCAGTGTCTTATAGCAGATAAGTAGATAAAAATTACTGGTTAAGATCTTGGAGGGCTATATAGATGTAGCTCATGTATAGACTGCTGGCATAACATGTATGAGGCCCTGCTGGGCCTACCACTGCATAAAGCTAGGTGTGCTGGTACATGCCTATAAGCTCAGAACTAGAGAACTGGAGGAAGGAGGATACTACCTATAGAGTTTGGGCTACTTGACACCATGTTTTTTTAAAAAGCTGTAGAAAAAGAGCTGCAAAGTCTATAAACTTCAATCTAATGAATCTTCAAGTAAATAGACCCATTCACCAGTTTTACCAATTGCTTTTTCTTTAGAAACTAAAAACACAGCTGATCATGATGAGTCACCTCCTAGAACTCCAACTGGAAATGCACCTTCTTCTGAGTCTGACATCGACATCTCTAGTCCCAATGTGTCTCATGATGAGAGCATTGCCAAGGACATGTCCCTGAAGGACTCAGGCAGTGATCTCTCTCACCGTCCCAAGCGCCGTCGATTTCACGAAAGCTACAATTTCAATATGAAATGTCCTACGCCAGGCTGCAACTCTCTAGGTGAGTGTGCCCCAGCTTCATGACTGTGATACAAGGATTCCATTGTGATCTAGCTTTTCAGACCCTTCAGTGGTTGTATACTTAGAGCAGTCATAGATGAGAACTGTTCTTGGCCTATTGTCTGTGCATAATATCAGATGTAGGGAAATATGACTATGAACTGTTCACTGCATGCTTTTCCCTGTGAAAAAGTCCTTCCTTTCCTCAGCAGAAACAAATATGGAAAACAAGTTCTCTTGAAACACCTCATCATGCAGCACATGGTTTATGCTTCTGAGGTCTGATGCAGTATAAGATAGTGCCTAATAATGGATGCATGGCCACAGCCGCTATGGAAACGATGAGAACATATGCATGAGACCTGACCTTTATGACCAAGAGTTTTTAATTTCTAAGCTTTGTGTATTCAGCTAGTCTAAATGGGAAAAACTTCTCTGATAAGTGTTTTGTTTTCTCAAAACTTTTAACTTTTAGGGAATCGCTTAAGTGATTTGAAGCTTATTTGTGCTGCGTGAGTGAGCTGAGATGTAGCTGTTGTGAGTGAGCCTTTGCCTGAAGTTGGAAGGTGCTGGTTGATGGATAAAGCACCTTTTAGTATGGATTTATCTTTATGCTTATACTGTGGTCATGAAGGGTGCCAGCAGTGTTGTGTGTTTTTTAAAGGTAGATACTTTTTAGACATGCTTTGACGATACTAGTGATTAAAAGCAGTTGGGAAACTGGTGTCAGTAGACTTGTTAAATAGAACTGCCACAACCTTCAGTTTGTAAAACATTCAGTCTCTGAAAGCAAGCTTTCGAAGTAGTGGCGCTGCACTTTACATGCTGTGTTTTTTCTGTCTAAGAAATGGCTTCATGTTGCTTAATGGCAAGGATATGTTTTGAGAGCATATACTTTGACAAGCTTAGATGATATAGCCTACTGTACAATTAGGCTGTTGGGTGTGTGTGTGTGTGTTTGTATATAGCACAGCCTATTATTTCTATATCCCAGTGAACAAAGCAACTTGCGGTAAGTGAAACATGAGAACATGGTGCAGTTTAGAGACTCAGTAAACTCAAAATGTATGTGATGGTTGCTAGTGGAACTTGGATGCTGCTTTACTAGGAACTTTTATTTAACAGGACTGCACTGAAATAAGGATGAGCGGGGTATGGCGGCAGGTGCCTTAAATCTCGGCACTCAGAAGACCAAGGTAGAAGGTGGCTGAGTTCATGGCTGGTCTAGGCTGTCTAATGAGACTATTTCTAAATCAATAAGAAAATGAAAAGTATAATGCCCTAAACCAACAACCTAGGTGCTTATATTGTCAGTCATTATATGCTACATAGAATTAGTTGTATGTGCTATGATCAGCTTAATAGATTTGTTTATATTAGTGTGCCCACAACTACATGAGTTGTGCATCCCACTTTACACATTGCAGCAACTGCAAAATCACGAACTAATAGGAACTTTTCAGCCCCACTGTAATATCATGGAACCCTTATTTGTGTGGTCTGCTATTTTTGTTCTTAGAGGTCCATTGTTTACTGAAACATTAGACAGTATGTGTCTCTCTAAAGTTATAATCTTTTCCTCTCATCTTCATTCTTTTGAGATAGGTTCTTGGTATGTAACCCTGTTTGGCCTGATAGTCACTGTGTAGCCTACGCTGACCTCAAGTTTATAGAAATCCTCTTTTAAAATTTTTTTTAAAGAATTTTTTTGTTGTTTTGAGATTTATTTTATGTGTATGAATGTTTTGCCTGTGTGTATGTATGTATACCACATTTGTGTCTGGTACCCAAAGAAGTCTAAAAAGGTTATGGGATCCAAACTGGAGTTAAAGGTGGTTATGGGTCCTTGGATTAAAACCTGGGTCCTCTGGAAGAGCAACAAGTACTCGAAATTTCTGAGTTACTCTCCAGCCCCTAGAGAAATTGTTTCAGCCTTCCAAGTGATAGCATTACAGACATGTTCCACCGTGCCTTGGTAAAGTACAGTCCCAGCGAACTGACAACCTGAGTGTCATAAATACCATTCCTTTGTAGTTGGATTATTATAACCCTTCAAAACTTACTCTATGGATTATGCTATGGTTTTTTGGTCTTGTTTTTTATTTATTTATTTTTAAGAATTTCATGCTGTATATTTCGTTTATATCTTTTTCCCCAACTCCTCCTGTATTCAACCCCACCTCCCTGCTATATAATTTTTAAAATCCCAATGTCTCCTTAAGCCCAAAATTACAGTTTTTTATTTTGAAAGAATGGTGAGCTTTTTGAAAGAAAATTGTGCAGTGTGTGTGCAGATGCATGAGCCAGATACACACCTGTGGCAGCTAGATGAGTATACTGGATGTTCTTAAAAGGGTGAGGAGTTTTGTAGGCTTGCGTTTAGCTTGACTAGTTAATCTTTTATCTTATTAGCATTGTCTCTGCTCTTTGAATCATTGGTGTTTTACAATTCTCTTAGAAGAGATGTATAGCAAAGAAATAATGTTCAGTTTTCTGTATTTTAAAAGTTTATTATTTATGTATGTAGGCTACACTTGTCATAGCATGGGTGTGGAGGACAGAGATCATATTTTTGAAGGCTGTTCTCTCCTTCACCTTTTTGTGGGGTCCAGGGATCGAACTCATGTTGCCAAGCTTGAGGGCTTAGTTACAAGCTTGAGCTACATAGTTAGACCTGTCTAAAAACAGAGAGAGACAGAGACAGAGACAGACGCACAGACAGAAATTGCTTAAGGGGTAAAAGTGCTTGCTATACAAGCAAGCCTGACAACGGAACCCTCATAAAGTGAATCTGTTAAGCCCAGCACCCTTACTACCCTGAGATAGGAGGCAGATGTAGAATTAGTGGAAGCTGGAGAGCTAGGAGTACTGATACACAGCACCCAAACAAGAAAGATCCCGCCTCAACAAGGTGGAATGTAGAGACAAATACCACTTTTAACACATGTAGACAAATGTACATATGGGCACAAAATAGCATGGACAACAAGAAAGGGTACTTATTAAGTGAAGGACTGAGTGCAAGTAATGGACACTTAAGTCATGAAAGAGGATATGAAGCTAATTTTCCAGTTTTAACTCTCATGGGTTGTTTTTGGTTTGTTGGTCAAAGAGAAGTGCATATATTTAATAGTGAAAGTGTGAAATCCGTTGTGAAACTCCACAGCTTCAGATTGGCTATCCTAACTGTACAGAAAGTCATTGGTTATTCCCTGTATGATTTTTTTGTATGCAGGCTCTTTATAATATTGTTTTAATAAATTATAAGCAAAACAAAAAACAAGGTGGAAGGTAAGAACCAATTTCCAAAAGTTGTTTCTCTTCAACACACACATTAATAATAATAACAATAATAATAGCACCTGTGTAGCTAGATGGTAGTGATACACAATCTTTACTTCCAGCACTCAGGAGGCAGAGGCAGGGGGATCTCTGTGGGATCGTGGCCAGCCCAGTCTGTGGAAAGAGTTTCAGGACAGCCAAGGGTACACAGTGAAATCCTGTCTCAAAAAAAAAAAAAAAAAAAAAAAAACCCAAGAACAAAACAAACCTATCTGAAAATAGAAACATGAGTAGAAATAAGACTCTGTGATAGAGTGCATGGCTTAGACCCTGGGTCCCATTCTCATTCATCAGTGTTAAAAAAGAAAGAAAGAAGACAGACAGGAAGACTGCCCTGTAGTTAGAACAAACTTCCTGTGTCATCCCTGATGTTTTCCCCAAGAAGACCTTATGCAAATTGCCCTATTAACTTAGAGTTTGGTTATAGAAATTAAAATCTTTAAATATTCATTCTTCAAAAAAAGTATATTGAATCTTATTCAAGATTATCAGAATATGTTTTCATATTGTAAAAGTGGTCATTTTCTTTTGATTATTCAAAAGGAGTTAATGAAGGTAGGTTAGTTTTGCATAGTAGAAAGAATTAGTTTACTTCTTTTAAATTCATTAGACTGGATTAATTTAAGAAAGGTTTTGTTCGTTTGTTTTGTTTTTTGAGACAGGTTTCTCTGTATAGCCCTGGCTGTCCTAGAACTCACTCAATAGACCAGGATGGCCCCAAACTCAGATCTGAACTGCCTCTGCCTCCTGAATGCTGGGATTAAAGGTGTGCACCACCAGGTACAAGTCATGATCTTCACAGCACTTCCTCTTGGTAACATTTATTTATTAAAACAGGACAGTAAAATAACAGATTATTGTCAAGAAAAATCTCTTCCTAAGTGTGCATGTTCTTCCTGGAAATTAAGTTTTCCCTCCTTTAACAGGACATCTTACAGGAAAACACGAGAGACATTTCTCCATCTCAGGATGCCCGCTCTATCATAACCTCTCAGCTGACGAATGCAAGGTAACTGTGTGCTCCTTTCTTCAGGGCGTGCTCTAGAATGCTTGCTACTTGACCCACACTTTGCTAAGCACTCGGGGTACAGCAGCAACAAGGGGACAAGGTTTTGTTCTTTCATGTCAGTGGAGGAAGCAATGAAAAAAAATTTTTTTTAAACAAAAACTAGCTACATGGACAAATAAAAGAATATATCATGTGTAATGAGTGTTAGGGAAGAATTAATAGAGAGATTTACCTTTAGAATATTGGGAATTTCACCTCTAGCACATTCATTTCCTTGGTAACTGACTTCATAATCTGCCAGGGACAAATCTTTTCTACTCAAGCAGAATTTGCATAGCTAGTTGATCCCATTGTTCCACCTCAGGCTTTAACAAATCCGTGAAGTTGTTTTGCTTTTTCAGCCATTTTGGAATGTTTATTCTTCTGTTCATTCTTCAGAATACTATTCCTATCTGTTCCTATCAGTCACAATCTATTCTTGGCTAGTTCTTTTACATTCTTCAAAAACACAGTTCCTAAATAATCTTTGGGACTTGGGGTTGATGTGTTTGAGACTCCAGCCTAAGGTCCTTTTTTGTTCATTCCTGCGTGGGTTTCTGCTCCCAGGGTGGATCATGCTAATTATGGGGAAGCAAGAATTGCAATAGTAATTAAATAGAGGGCTCGGGTAGTCTTTGGACAAGTTCTCCAAGCTGAGGACTTTGACTACACAGAAGTGTTAGTTGCTGTTTTGTTGTTGTTCCTTTGCTCACAAGGCCTGGGTCACAGGTTTATGCCTGTGTGAACAGGTCTCATTTGGAAAAGAATTCAATTTCCTGTTCTTTTTGCTTCAGGAACTTGTTCATATTTACAAGGTCTTGGGGTGGAGTTGGGAAAGCGTTTCTTCACATGTTTAAATTTTCACCAAGTAAAACTTGAAATGCTAACATGTATTTTTCATGTTGTCAAAGACCCTGCTCTTTATTTTCATTCCAAATCTGTCTGTATGAGACAGCTTCTGTCTTGGCTTTGCTTATCTTCCCACTGTCTTCCTTCAGCTGGCTGAGAGCAAGCATGGTGGTGTCAGCACCCAACTCAGGTGCTGACCAAACACTTTTCTCTGAAAATAACTGTGATGGTGTTTTTCGTGATGCTCCTCTACTGCTTATCTTTAATACAGCAATCTGATAGTGCTTTGTTTTACATCAGTCTACCTGAAGCATAACTTTGAAGAACATGGCATGCAGCAATATTTACCAAGTACCTTAAGCAGTTTATTTTAGAAATTTGAGGAACATTTTAGACCAGGGAAGAAAATCCTAAATAAAGGAAAAGGTTTCTGTTGTAAATTTTTCCTGTGTGTCCTGTACAGGGAGATACGATGGGCATCATCTTTTTACTGCTGGACTGTGTGCTTGGAGGAGGGCACTAGAGTCAGAGCCTTTGTACATGCTAGGCAGATGTGCCGTTATTGAGCCACTTCCCTGATGAAAGCTCTTAAATTTTAAACAGCCTGCATATACATGATTGCTCTTGCATTTTCCAGCAAACCTTTTTTATTGTCTTTTTTGTGTGGCTGCATATACCTTTTATGGATAACAAAGGATTCAGTTGAGTAAGATAAAATAAAAAAAAAAAACCACGGTGATCAAGGAGTTTGCATTCTCATGGGGGGGAATTGTGAATTAATAAGTTTATGCCATGATAAACACCATGAAAAACACCAAGGTGGGAGTAGCGTACTGTTTTTACTAGAGGAGGTCAAGGAAGCCCTCTCTGAGATTGGTATGCATTCTAGAACATGGTTGGTGTTAGAGGAGTGGTGATAGCTAAGAAGGCCTATGAGCTGGAGATAGACTGTTGGGCTTGAAAGAAGGTTGTGTGACTGGAGCATGATAGGAAATGAAGAAGCAGGATTGAGATCATAAGGCCTGTAGGCCTTAGCACAAGGATTACATTTTTATTCTGATGACAGTAGAAACATTTGGAGGGTTCTGCAGAGAAGAGGTAGTCATTGAAACAACCATTGTGGAGAATGGCTGGAGAAGAAAGAGATGAGACAGGATAGATAGATTGGAAGCTATCTTAGAAGTTCTTGCAGTAAGTAGTAGCTTTGACTATTGTGGTGTTGGTAAAATTCTAAGAACAGATTGGAGTCAGGATGTGTCTTGAAGGGGAGCAAGCTAGTAGGAGTTGGGTTTAGTAGAGATAGGAGAAAAAGAAATGAAGGATTGCATCCAAGTTTTGAATCAGTCAGTTGTTGAGATGGTACCATTTGTTGATATTGGAGAGCAGTGGAATGGAGCAGATGTGAGAAATATTGGTAGTCTTCTTTGAGGCTGCTAAGTGATTAACCCAGTAGGCAGGTAGATATGAGGTGTCCGTTCCCAAAGGGTGAAACTGAAATTAATGAGAGCTAACAGGATTTCCCTGGGGTCTGTTGTCTACAGAGTTGTGTTTGCTTGGAGACTTGAATTCAGGTTTTTCCCTCTTTCCTTTCCTTTAAGCTCCCCCACCCCCAATCCTTTCTTAGTCCTTGAAGCAGGATCTAGTCTCCTTATGCTGCATAGGCTGGTCTTAAAGTCCTCTAAGCTGTCTCAGCCTGTTTGCTAAGACTATGGGCAAATGTCACTGTGCCCATCCTGAACCCAGATTTTTCTGATGTTTTCTTCATACTTGCTCACTTTCTTGTACTTCTTCACAGTTTCCTATCAGCATAGTGGAAGAATTTCAGGCCAGAGCCATCATTCCTACTGAAAGTCTCAACTTTACAACATTTAGCTTTGATCATTTCTCTTCTTTGATATCTAGTGGCTGAGAAAGCACTGTGTGAGCCTTGTCTCACATCTTTCTGATAGAAATAGAAATAATAATAAGAGTACTTTACTTTAAAAGAGTAGTGCAAATACAAGGGATTATCACAAATTCTTATGCTTTAAGTATATGTAGTCTTAGAAGCAGGTGAATTTATTGACATTGTTGATGGTTGCAGGTGAGAGCACAGAGCCGGGATAAGCAGATAGAAGAAAGGATGCTGTCCCACAGGCAAGATGACAACAACAGGCATGCAACCAGGCACCAGGTATGGGCCTTGTGAAAGCTCTGGCCAGCCACAGTTTGAGGTCTGTGTTTTCGGATCTCCTTTGCCCCATAACTGTCTTTATAGGCAAATTCATGCCTCTTGTTTCCCATGGCACATCAAAATCACTGGTCTTTCAGACATCAACTTGAAATCATGTTTGGCTTTCAACTAGTAATTTTTCATAAAGCATATAACGTTTTTCTCATAAGTGGAGGACTCAAGCTATTTATAATAATAGTAACAGTAGTAATAGTATACAAATTTGTGGTTATTTGAAAGGTTACATTGCATTTCCATTTCCTTATTTCGCATCCTTATTTTAAACCATTGTGGTTGGCTTCCAAACACCTTTGACTTTGCTGGCATATTTTCAACACCACCAGTGGCATTTCCTCAGTATTCCTCATTTTGTCAGTTGTGCCAGTTTTACTTCTGTTTTTCTGTGATTTTCAGAAAGCATCCTTGTTTTGTCCTAATCTCCCACTCTGAACATTCAGGCCACATAGACTGTGCTTAATTCCTTGCTTCTTCCTAAAGGACTTTGATCTTTCTGAGAACTCTGTTTCATTACCACGAAGAGATTACATATATATCCTTCAAGGCTTCAAGCAAGTCTTAGCTCTTGTAAGAATTCTTCTAAGACCTTCTTCTGCAATTAGTAACTCTTTCTCTGTATTCTTCTAATACTTTCTTCCAAATGTGAGCCTTTGTAAAGTATTAGTCACAGCTGTCATCTAACTATCTGTTTCTGCAGCTGGATTGTAAATGAGTCACAGTGGAAAGAAAGACTCTGATGCTCTCATTAGCTGTGTTGTCCTAGGCAGGCCAGCATATAGAATAGTACCCACCTGTCAGGGTAGTCATCTAACGTATATGATATCTGACCTCAGTGCTTGGCAGGCAAAAGCAGTCTGTAACTCATCCTTATCCTTTTTGATTCTGTCATAGGTTTTATTTTTGCTGTGTTTTTTTTTAATGCTATTATTGTTGGAACACTAAGTAATAGTACTTAAAATCATAATTTGTACAGTTAAAATGATCTTTATTTTTATTTTGGTAGAGAGTTCCATCTTATTTTAGTTTTTTGATAGGAATTTTGATATATAGCCCTTATTGGCCTGGAACTGGCTATGTAGACCAGACTGGCCTGGAACTTACAGCAATCATTCTGCTTCTGCTGGGAATATAAACATGAATCATGATGCTCCTGCCTCCTTCGTGACTTCACTCTTCACTCATATTAATTAAAATAAATTTGCATTCCTGAAAGGGCAGTAAGAACATTGGTTTGAATGGTAAAAGAATCTACCGATTTAGGATTATAAAATTAACATATTATTAACTGTGTGGTGGTGCTGTTCCTGGCAGTTGTTTTTTTTTTTTTTT